TTTCCCAGAGAGGATTGGATTCATCTCAGTGTAGTGTCTCTGGTCACAGTGGTTGGTTTCTCCTGTAATATTTACAGTATATTATTGCTCACAGCCTCCATCACAGCGCTGGACAACATTGGAAGTGAACTGGCCTCGCAGCTTTATATCTTCACCCGAATAATGACGTACAGTTGTGTTCTGAATCCGCTGATTCTCCACTTCAGTTTCTGGGTCACACACAAACAAACCACTCCACTTTTAAATGGCCTGCCATCCAGCCTTACTTTATATCACTGGTGAAGAACACTAGAGGCCAACAGCAGCGCAGGCGTGATGTTCACACACTATCGAGTTACATCGACACACTGTTCATTCATCCTTTCCGGCCTTTCACTGTGCAAATCAGCTCTGCTTTCCACACTTTTGTTTTCTTGTGAAAAATCCCGAATGCTGCAGCTCTTTTTCATACAATGGCGGATCATAAGGCAATTTTTGCTTTAAAAAAAGCCATATGAAAACATTAAAATGAACAAACTGAAATTCAGGACTTTTTTTTTTTTTTTCATTCAGTTCGATGGGTTCGATTCCCAATGCAAGCTGCTCACCAAGGCTGCATTTATTTGATTAAAAATACAGTAAAAATAGGAAAATTCTGAAATATTATTACAATTTAAAATAGCTGCTTTCTATGTGAATATACAGTAAAGTGTAATTTATTCCTGTGATCAAAGCTGAATTTTCAGCATCATTACTCCAGTCTTCAGTGTCACATGATCCTTCAGAAATCACTTTGAAACATTTATGATTATTATCAGTGTTGAAATCAGTTTTGTGGAAACTGTGCACTTAAAAAAATCTATTTTTCAAAATTACAAATATATTTTACAAGAAAATGCTATTTTAGTCTTTCTACTTCGGTACTTCACATTGCTTTGTAATTATTTACGCAATTTTACTAGCAATTTCTGAGTTAAAATTACATTTCGAAGTAAATCCTGCACAATTTTTTTCAGGATTCTTTGATTAATAGAATGTTCAGCATTTATTTAAAAATATTGTAACATTGTAACTGTCTTTACTGTCACTTTTGATCCAATTAATGTATCCTTCCTTGCTGAATATTAATATAAAAAAATAAAAAAAATAAACACATACTGTACACCCCAAACTTTTGAACAGTAGTAAATACAATAAACTATTAAAATCACTATAACAAAATAAAGTTGCATACATGTCACTTTTGATCAAATTAATGTGTCCTTGCTGTATTGATTTCTTCACCAAAAAAACCTTTTGAACCATAGAGTACACTATATAGTGCACAATATACGTTGCTTTTTTTTTTTTTACAGACACAATTATATCCTTCAAATTTCTCCTTTAATTTTATATGAACAAAATAACAACATAAGAGTGAGTAAATAATGACAGCATTTTTATTTGTGTGTTGAACTGGCCCTTTAAATGAGTGGGAGGAAAGCAGGGCTGGATTGAACAGTGAAGCATCTCTTTCTCTTCCTCAGTCTCTCGCTCCCTCCTTCCCTCAGTGCGCATGTCGTTCAGAGGAGGAGAAGAACGTCCCGATCTATATTTAGAGGAAAGGCAGAGAAAGACATCTAAACACCCCTCCAAAACACACACAAATCAAGGGCAACGCTCTGTCTCTGAGGTCAAGCATCATGTATATATGGTGGCCATTAGGAACCCTGCTTCTCTTCCAGTGTGGCCCGAGAGAGAGAGAGCGAGGGAGAGGCGCAGGGAGTCTGAGGGAAGGGAACGCTGCGTGCTTTGCATGCTAATCTGCTTTTTGTTTCAAGGCTGCGTGTGTCTCGTATGCTCAGTGTTCGGGAATATTCCCAGCGTTCCCAGTCCAGTGAACGACAGCAGAGCGGTTTGTTCTGCTCCAGCTGTCAGTCGTTCTCTCCGTTCATCTTAGATTGGTTTGATGACCTGTTACGCAACGACACGGCTGTGTTTGCATCACAGCACAATTACAGTGCTATCCAAAATTAACATTTTAATCATTTATTGGGTAACAGTTTAGAATACGGTTCCTTCGTTAATGAATAACTACACAGGAACAAATGAGTAACACAATATTAACAATCTAGTAACTACTATTAACTAACAAGAAATTCTGATTAACGAATTAGTAAATAACAGCGCACAGATGAAAGTGGTAGTTCACTATTAACTAATTGATAACTACTTTTTTTTAATGCTTCCCAGAGAATTACTGAAGAAGATTAATAGTTCATGCAAAACTAATCAATAACTAATGCAGGGCAAATGACTAGCACTACATTAACATTAATAACTGCTGTAAACAAATACACAAGGTTTATCAATATGTAATATGTAATAGAATAGCAGACTTATGATTTGGGAAATAATTAGCCTATACTCTCTCCTAGAGAACTATTTATCAACTGGATAATTTTAAAGAAATGGCTTTTTAAATGCAGTTGTCGGGACCTTACTTGTCCTGTAGTGATTCAATGCCAGTCCAGACGAATGCCAGAAAATTGGCCAGAGTCACGGTGACGGCATATTGAGTTATCGGACATCCAAATACCATATACAGTGATTTTATTATTGAACCTATACCTCAAAAAAAAAAAAAAAAAAAGAAGATTTTATTACTGTCTCCTACCTCATACGTGTGTGCAAATATCTTGTGAAGGATTAGAAGATTCTACACTTTAGGATTGGCTTTTCATGTAAGAATCATGATAACTAACTAGTAATGACTCAAGTGTTACTACATACTTCTAAAGGAATGACTAATTATTTGGATCCGTATTCTAAAGTGAAGATCATGGTAACTAACTAGTAATTACTCAAGTGTTACTACATACTTCTATGGTAATTACTATCTAAAACTTCAAAAAACAAAAAACCTCAAAAGCTTAAAAGAATTAGTAATTCCTTTAGAAGTATGTAGTAACACTTGAGTAATTACTAGTTAGTTATCATGATTCTTACAGTAATTCTCTGGGAAGCATTAAAAAAAAGTAGTTATTGATTAGTTAATAGTGAACTACCACTTTCATCTGTGCGCTGTTACTTACTAATTTGTTAATCAGAATTTCTTGTTAGTTAATAGTAGTTACTAGATTGTTAATATTGTGTTACTCATTTGTTCCTGTGTAGTTATTCATTAACGAAGGAACCGTATTCTAAAGTGTTACCATTTATTGTTACAAACATGCACAGCTTTTTTTCTTCCGAAAGAGATTTTGCAGATTGTAAGAGCTGACGCACACAAAAAGCAACATAAAGCATCATCAAAAGTATATATGAACTATGCACTATAACTGTCATTTTTATATTTCTATACTAAGACTATATTTTTGTCTGAATCCATATGATAGCTTTGCATCAGCAATCCGTGTCATTTTGAGATACTATGATACTATTTGAGATTTATTTTACAGTGTCCTTATTACACGTTACATGTTACTGTAGTAATAATAACTATAAATTGTGCATAATTACATGCAACTAACCCGTATAGTTAATTATTATTACTCAGTACTTAAATGCATTAATACACTGTAACACAGACACCTTAAAATGGTGTAGCCATAGCTTTTATTCATATTTTTGAATTAATAAAAAAAAAATTCTAGTTTAATTCTAGTTTAATAAAATGTAGTAATTTTATTTTTATTACTTAATTTTATGAAATGAATTTGTTTATTTTATTTTAAGTTTTTTTTTTTTTTTTATGTCGATATATAGTTTTTGCTATTTCAGTTTTAGTACATCGTTAATCTAAATGAAAATGAGGAATTTTGGAAACTACACTGTAAAAAATATTGTTGTTTCTGGTTAAAGCAACAAACATATTTTTTTATGAAATTTTTTATTTTTTTCCATTAATTTAACTATAATAACCCTATAGACTGCAATTTACTTAATTTGTTTATCATTTGCTTTGCTAAGAAAAAGAGCAGCTTGGGCATTCTGCTAAACTTCTCCTTTTTGTGTTTCTCAGAAGTCATACATGTTTTAAAAAGACATGATGAATAAATAATAACAGAATTATATCCCCCCCCCCCCCCCCCTGCGTGTTTATTGTTTGCAAAAAGATGGGATGAAAATGATTGAATTATTTGATTATGATTGATCATTATACATAATCACAAACATCTCTGTATGCGTTAACAAACTGCTTTGGTTCTCTCTGAGAAATATCAAATCCTTGGTTATGATTTTATGTGTCCATCATATTTATGGTTCATGATTCATTAATATCAGACAGGAGGATTATAGAAACGCTGTGGTGTGTGTCATAATTTTGTCATCTCATGCCATCTAGAGGATGATGTGAAACACGCTTATGAAAGTCTGGCATATGAAATAATAGTCAGAAACACAATCACAGATTACTGAACCCAATATCATTGAGATACTATTATATATTTTTTATTAATATTTTGAATTAGTTTTTGTTTGTATATTTTCTGTTTTAATTTTAAAGTTTTAGTAAATTTTATATTTTTATAAATTATTTCAGTTCTAGTTTTGGTTATTTTAGTCCACCAAGTTAAAATAAAAATGAGAAATGTTGCCTCGGCAACTAGCTGAAATAAAATAAGTTTTGCATATATTTTATTTTATTTCAGTTATTTAATTTATTTCAAGCAACAACAACAACAAAAAAAGTTTTTTGTATGGTTTGTTTTGGTTTTAATGTTAGGTAACCGGATTGAAACTTTAGACAATTTTTTTTTTTAAAGTTCCCCCTTTTTCATATTCAGTATCATATTTCATAGGTCAAACCTGAGCAATATTATGTAATAAATGGTGCTGATGAACGAAAAGTAAGATGAAATTTTGATGTTTTTAATGTAAATCAATGAGATCTTTATAAACGACTACTGACATAAAATGCATATCACACACACTCACTCACACACACTCTCTCTCACACACACACACACACACACACACACACACAGCTCCACCTTGTGGTCGTCTCTGGTCACTAACTGATCTGCTGATCTCCACAGCTGTCCACTGCAATCTGACCCAGAATGGGATCGACCATCAGGTGTGCTCAGAGGAAGTGACATCACACCGGGAGGAAGTGTGTGTTGATCATGGACTGGATGAGGACAGTCTGGGTTTTCTGGAGCAGAGTCCTGGTTTCCAGCGCCGATCTCCACCTCAGCGCTCCGTCTCCGAATCCGAGCTGTCCCGGGTGAGAACATCCCCAAACTCACATTACATCATGTTTCTGATCACCAATGATGCATTTATCTGAGCAAAAATATTATTATTAATAATATTATTCCAGTGTAAATCAGCTGTTTTCTATGTGAATATACAGTAAAGTGTAATTTATTCCTGTGATCAAAGCTGAATTTTCAGCATCATTACTCCAGTCTTCAGTGTCACATGATCCTTCAGAAATCACTCTAATATGAGGATCTGATGCTCAAGAAACATTTATGATTATTATCAGTGACGAAAACAGTTTCATATTTTTGTGGAACATTTTATTTTTCCATATTCTTTGATGAATAGAAAGTTTAAAAGAATCGTATGTATTTTTAAATAGAATATTTTGTATCATTTTAAATGTCTTTACTGTCACTTTTGATCACCTAAATGCATATTTGTTGAATTAAAAAATAAAGTAAAGACATTTAACACACATGTGGATAGTAGTGTATGGAGAATATCACTCATTTATGTGCTTTAAACAGAATATACGTCCCATAATGCATCATTTCACACTATTGCTGTAGCGTTAGTGAATTAACATGTTGACTGTCACACTTCTTCTTTATTGCCTTTTTATCATATATTTAGTATTAACCATACATTAGGTGTCATCCGAAGCTTATGTAATTGAATGCATATATATCGTCATGCGTCTGTGACATGATCTGGAGCAATGCATTATGGGTGAATTTCATGAAGAAATGCCCAGGTCATATTTCACACTTTAAATCAAGGGGAAGAAATTATATTTTGCTTATAAAAAATATATAGACTATAAAAAAAAAAAAATCAGTATTGAAAATCATCCTGTCTGGACACAGTGATTTTTATTTTATTTTTTATTTTATTTTATTTTATTTAAATTGAAAAAAATTTATTTTATTCTTTTTTATTTTTTGCATTCTTTTTAAATGGCTTTGTTTTCTTTAGCAATATTTATATTAATATTTTGCTTAAAGAAAAAAACTATTACGATCCTGTGTGGACACAATGATTTTTATTTTATGTTTATATATATATATATATATATCTTTTTTTTTCTTTTTTTTAAATGGCTTTGCTTTCTTTAGCAATATTTCTTTTTTTTCTTTTTAGTGGTGATGGTAATATTTGTCTTTGCCGTTTTTATTATTTGCATATAATAAGTGATGCAGACTTAAACCTTTAGATAAGAGAAGCTGAATTAAAACATTTCTAATATGAACAAAAGCTGACATATTTTTTCACTCTGTTACCAGGATTATTGTATACTGTACAAACACAAATAATGAAATAATAAAATGTTAATTAAAATAAAGTTCAAATAAAATAAAATAATAGTAGAAAATTAGAAATGTTGCCTAAATTAAACCTACATAGTTATATTTAAAAACATGTTTTAGTAATTGTATGTGCTTTTGTCATTTAAAAAAAAACTAAAATAAAATAAAATGAACACAAAAAATAAAGCTAATTCAAAATATTAATAAAACTATAAAAATACTCTGTACATTAATCTGACTGACATCACTAATGTTTTTTGTTCAGCTTTCACCACAAGATGTCACTGTAACGCAGAGTCTGCAATACTCAACTGTCCATCTGTCTTATTAATCTTCATGTTAGATTTATTGTGCATCATATATGCAATGCATTTACAATACAGACAAATTAATCAAATCGTCATTCCATCAAACTGTAAAATAGTGAAAATGCATTTAGTCATTTTCATTGAAGCCATATATTTTTCTCCTCCATCTTTACTAATTAATATTGCTTATATCGATCAGCCCTTCACATCATTTGCCTCTAATATTAATTCTGTTGTCGTAGATGATGAATTTTAGTGTGTTATGATGCATCCATATCTTCAAGTCATCATGCTTTGTTGCTATAGTAACATGAGAATTCTTGAATTTTCTAATTATACCAAGGACGGAATGACTGTGTGTGTGAGAGAGTGAGAGTGTGCGTGAGAGTGAGAGTGTGTTTGCATGTGTGTGTTTGCGTGTGAGTGTGTGTTTGCGTGTTTGGGTGTGAGTGTGTTTGCGCGTGAGTGTGTTTGCACGTGAGTGTGTTTGCGCGTGAGTGTGTTTGCATGTGTGTGTTTGCGTGTGAGTGTGTGTTTGCGTGAGTGTGTTTGCGCGTGAGTGTGTTTGCATGTTTGTGTTTGCGTGTGAGTGTGTGTTTGCGTGTTTGGGTGTGAGTGTGTTTGCGTGTGAGTGTTTGCGTGAGTGTGTTTGTGTGAGTGTGTTTGTTTGCGTGAGTGTGTTTGCGTGTGAGTGTGTTTGCGTGTGAGTGTGTGTGCGTGTGAGTGTGTTTGCGTATGAGTGTGTGTTTGCGCGTGAGTGTGTGCGTGAGTGTGTGTGCGTGTGAGTGTGTGTGTGCGTGTGAGTGTGTGTTTGCGCGTGAGTGTGTTTGCGCGTGAGTGTGTGTGTGTTTGCGTGCGTGTGAGTGTGTGTGTGTTTGCGTGCGTGCGAGTGTGTCTGTGTGTTTGCGTGTGAGTGTGCCCATGAGAGTGAGTGTGTGAGTGTGTGTGTGAGTGTGTTTGCGTGTGAGTGTGTTTGCGCGTGAGTGTGTTTGCGCGTGAGTGTGTGTGAGTGTGTTTGCGTGTGAGTGTGTGTTTGCGTGTGAGTGTGTGTGTGTGTTTGCGTGAGTGTTTGCGTGTGTGTTTGCGCGTGTGTTTACGCGTGAGTGTGTGTTTGTGCATGAGTGTGTGTTTGCGCGTGAGTGTGTGTGTTTGCGTGTGAGTGTGCCCATGAGAGTGAGTGTGTGAGTGTGAGTGTGTGAGTGAGTGTGTGCTTTTGTTTTTGTGATATATGAGGACACAAATGTGTATAATGACATGCATATTACACTGGTATTACAACTTACACGTGATATATGAGGACATTGCATGAGTCCTCATATTTCAAATAGCTTAAAAAACATAAAAAACAATGGGTTTTTTTAAATGTAAAAATGCAGCATGTCTCCTGTGATGGGCAGGTTTAGGGGTCGGGGCAGTGTGTGTGTGTGTGTGTGTGATGGGCAGGTTTAGGGATAGGGGCAGTGTGTGTGTGTGTGTGTGTGTGATGGGCAGGTTTAGGGATAGGGGCAGTGTGTGTGTGTGTGATGGGTAGGTTTAGGGATAGGGGCAGTGTGTGTGTGTGTGTGTGATGGGTAGGTTTAGGGGTCGGGGCAGTGTGTGTGTGTGTGTGTGTGTGTGATGGGTAGGTTTAGGGGTCGGGGCAGTGTGTGTGTGTGTGTGTGTGTGTGATGGGCAGGTTTAGGGATAGGGGCAGTGTGTGTGTGTGATGGGTAGGTTTAGGGATAGGGGCAGTGTGTGTGTGTGTGTGTGTGATGGGTAGGTTTAGGGGTCGGGGCAGTGTGTGTGTGTGTGTGTGTGTGATGGGTAGGTTTAGGGGTCGGGGCAGTGTGTGTGTGTGTGTGTGTGTGTGTGATGGGTAGGTTTAGGGGTCGGGGCAGTGTGTGTGTGTGTGTGTGTGTGTGTGTGTGTGTGTGTGATGGGTAGGTTTAGGGGTCGGGGCAGTGTGTGTGTGTGTGTGTGTGTGTGTGTGTGTGTGATGGGTAGGTTTAGGGGTCGGGGCAGTGTAGGGGGATAGAAGATACAGTTTGTCCAGTATAAAAGTCATTACGCCTATGGAATGGAATGTCCTCATATATCACAAAAACACGGCTGTGTGAGTGAGTGGTGTGTGTGTGTGAGCGGTGTGTGTGATGTCCCTCATCTGTGTTTAATTGGATCCTCTATAAGGTCCTGCAGATCTTCGGTGTCTCGACTCCAGCCCAGCGTTAGACCTCATCACTCCAGTAGTGTGTGTCTGTCAGGAGGCTCGGGTTAATTATCCGGCTGCTGTTTTCAGTGTGTCTGTGACTCTCGCCCCACTGGAGGCTGTTCTACTGACTCGGTGTGTGTGTGTTTCTCTGACTCGGTGTGTGTGTGTTTCTCTGAGCTGAATTAAAGAAAGCTCACACTCACGACGCACTCAAAGGCCAAGCAGTGGCATTCGATCAGCAGTCGTCTCGTCACAGCGATAGTTCACGCAAAAATGGCATTTTGTCATTATTTACACACCGTCATGTTGTTCCAAACCTGTGTGATTTCTGTCGACTACTTTCAACGCAAGTACAACGAATAACTCAAGCATTTAATCTTAGAAAAGTCTCAAAAGCTCAGTAACGGCTAGCAAGTGAATAATCTCATAATCATTGAGTTGAATGGAAGAACCAGATCGTTTGTAAATTAATCATTTGACCAATTCACTGAAAGGATCGGATTCATTCATCAGTCAGATATTGAAGAAACGGTTCCATATAGAAACAAAGTCGCCCTGTAGTCAATAACTGTATCCCTTAACTCATCTTACACCAAAATGACATATTTAAACGTTTTTTTCTTCATGCCTTAAAATATCTTGAATGTAACTCGACACCCTTGCCTCATTTAGTATGCGCGGTTCTATGAATATGCAAATGAGCCCCGCCTCCACTCACTCCCTCAGCTCAGAGATCCACTGGTTGACGATCACACGTTGATCTGATTGGTTACAAGGTCGTTTGTGACGTCAGAAACACCAGCGATTTCAACCCGTGTTTTTGAGACTGTCTTTGGTTCACTGCAGTTTTAAGCAGAAAATACTCAGCAATGCTGTCGACTTATGAACTTACACATGGTGTGTCTTAAAGCGTATTAAAAACACCACATAGACACATAAACAACATTAAACGCTGGATTTACACCACAGGGGGACTTTAAAGGGTTCCTTCAGGTGCTTCATATATAGAACCTTTCATTGGATAATTTTATATGGTTTTAATTAAGGTTATGAATTAAACAGCTTGAAAACATACTTTATCAGTAGAAAAATTTAAATATCTCGTTAGACGTGAATGTTTTATGAAATCAGTTAAGACATTTCTCCTCTTATAGAACCATAGACTTCTGTATAGAACCGCATTGAACCTTTTTTATAGTAGTGAATTAATTCTAACAAATGACTTAATTTCAATTTATATTTCTCACCAAGATCACTCTGAATCTCAAATGCTTCAGTTCTCCTTTTATCCTAATTTCATGAAAAGACCAACCGGTTTAGCAGGTTTAAAAACATCATGAAGGAGCAAATGATCACAGAATTTTTATTTTTTGCTGAACTATTCTTTTAAAGTCGACATTAGTCTGCAATTTTCTTCTCTATTGTGACGTCTATCTGAGTGAAACGCTTCTGGGACAAGAACAAATGTGGGCGGGGCTTGATTATGTCTCTGGGGATTTGATTGGATGGTGGTTTGCTATTGGCTGATCTCATGTGAGTGACAGGTTATAGCCCCGCCCAGAGATGAGGGGAAGTTATTCTGATTTAAGATTGTGCAGAGTAATGATTTGCACGGATAAATCATTTATAATAAAACCCGCAATATTCCATTAAAAAACCCAAGAATTGTCCGTTTGTATTTCATGGAGGCTGTAAAAGCGTAAGTCTGATCTGTTCTGCGTGATTGTTGTGTGTCGCAGCTGGGAACGGTGAAGCTGTCGAAGCCGGTGGCTCTGTGGACGCAGCAGGACGTGTGTAAGTGGCTGAAGAAGCACTGTCCCAATCAACACCAGGTGTACAGCGACTCCTTCAAGCTGCACGACATCACCGGTAAACACACACACACACACACACACACACACACACACCTCCTGTCAGTCTGATCATGATCTTCTCCAATGTCAAATACCCACAGCTCTCACACACACTGCTCTCACACACACACAGAGACATTCATGACGACACTGCCATTAATTGCTACCGGCCCCGTCGAGATGATTATTAGCTCAGGTGTGTGTGTGTGTGTGTGTGTGTGTGTGTGTGTGTGTGTGTGAGAGAGAGAGCTGTGTGTGTGTGTGTGAGAGAGAGAGCTGTGTGTGTGAGAGAGAGAGAGAGCTGTGTGTGTGTGTTTTTTGTGTGTGAGAGAGCTGTGTGTGTGTGTGTGTGTGAGAGAGCTGTGTGTGTGTGTGTGTGTGAGAGAGCTGTGTGTGTGTGAGAGAGCTGTGTGTGTGTGAGAGAGCTGTGTGTGTGTGAGAGAGCTGTGTGTGTGTGTGTGTGTGTGTGTGTGTGTGAGAGAGAGCTGTGTGTGTGTGTGTGTGAGAGAGAGAGAGAGCTGTGTGAGAGAGAGAGAGCTGTGTGTGTGTGTGTGTGTGTGTGAGATAGAGAGCTGTGTGTGTGTGTGAGAGAGCTGTGTGTGTGTGTGTGTGTGTGTGTGTGTGTGTGTGTGAGAGAGAGAGAGAGCTGTGTGTGTGTGTGAGAGAGAGCTGTGTGTGTGTGTGAGAGAGAGAGAGCTGTGTGTGTGTGTGTGTGTGAGATAGAGAGCTGTGTGTGTGTGCAGCGCCGCCGCTCCCACCACGCGCATCACGCGCTGTGCGTAGGGCACCAAGTGCTGAGGGGGCACCAAAAATAGCCTAATGAAAAACCAATCATCAAACTTCTTGTTATAATCAGATTCAGCGCGTTCTTCCTCTTCATTCCGCAGCGGCGCCGAGCAGAGACAGAGAGCACGTCAGAAACACAGGACAGGGTGTGTGTGTGTGTCATGTGTGTGTTCATCTGAGCCTCATTGGTCTGTCACTGCTCGTCAATGTCAGAATATTTGAGATGACCAATCAAATCAAAGTAGGCGGGCTTTATGTTCACAGACGCTGAGCGCGAATTTTAACAGTGCAACTCGACGCTTCAGTGTACGGTCAAGTGCGAGATAAGATGTAAGTAGCTAAACTTAACTTTATTTGACAGTTTTTTTTAGGTCATAAATGATAAACGAATGACAAAAAATAATTAGGCAAACTAATATAGTTTTGTCTAATTTCGCTATTTTGAACTGAAAATAGGCCTATGTAACATGTAGCCTAGTGTAATAGTTTAGGCTATTGTCATTGTGAGGGGACAAGAAACATGAACAAAGCCGTTTTCATCATGTTAGCCACAGGATTAATAATGAATGTGTACATATTGAGAATAAAATACAAATTGTAACCTTTAGAAAATTAAAAAAAGCCAACTTTAGGAGGGGAAGAGACAGGGCAAGATAAAAACAAAGAGAAAAAGAGTGTGATGCTGATGAGGAGAGAAAAATAATCAGCTGCCCACTGACATGGTTTTAAAGCTGTTGTTATCGATATTTTTTTTTTTTTTTTTTTTGCCTTCACAACATCTTAAAATGCACATCTGTAGTTCAGAAAAATCCAAAATTTCCCCCGAACACCCCTAACTAACCTGCCTCAAATTCGGAACCCCAGTGATTATAAAACCATGCCATTGCATGGTAATGAAACTAGTTAATAGTAAGCATTAGACCCTAAACTAAAGTGTTACTTTTTAATTTTTGCATTTTTTTTATAAATCATACCCTCATTGGGGGCTTAGCCCCCCTAAATGAAAATCCTAAATTAAAATGTTTTTTTTTTTTTAGGGGGGGGCGGGGGGGCATCATAAAGGAATTATGCTTAGGGCACCAAAATGGCTAGCAGCGGCACTGTGTGTGTGTGAGAGAGCTGTGTGTGTGTGTGTGTGTGTGTGTGTGTGTGTGTGTGTGTGTGTGTGTGTGTGTGTGTGTGTGTGTGTGTGTGTGTGTGTGTGTGTGTGTGTGTGTGTGTGTGTGTGTGTGTGTGTGTGTGTGTGTGTGTGTGTGTGAGAGAGAGAGCTGTGTGTGTGTGTGTGTGTGAGAGAGAGAGAGAGCTGTGTGTGTGTGTGAGAGAGAGAGAGCTGTGTGTGTGAGAGAGAGAGCTGTGTGTGTGTGTGAGAGAGAGAGAGAGCTGTGTGTGTGTGTGAGAGAGAGAGAGAGAGAGAGAGCTGTGTGTGTGTGAGAGCTGTGTGTGTGAGATAGAGAGCTGTGTGTGTGTGTGTGTGTGTGTGTGTGTGTGTGTGAGAGAGAGAGAGCTGTGTGTGTGTGTGAGAGAGAGAGAGCTGTGTGTGTGTGTGTGAGAGAGAGAGAGAGCTGTGTGTGTGTGTGAGAGAGAGAGAGAGAGAGAGAGAGAGCTGTGTGTGTGTGAGAGCTGTGTGTGTGAGATAGAGAGCTGTGTGTGTGTGTGTGTGTGTGTGAGAGAGAGAGAGAGAGAGAGAGAGCTGTGTGTGTGTGTGAGAGAGAGAGAGCTGTGTGTGTGTGTGAGAGAGAGAGAGCTGTGTGTGTGTGTGTGTGTGTGTGTGTGTGTGTGTGAGAGAGAGAGAGAGCTGTGTGTGTGTGTGAGAGAGAGAGAGCTGTGTGTGTGTGTGAGAGAGAGAGAGCTGTGTGTGTGTGTGTGAGAGAGAGAGAGCTGTGTGTGTGTGTGAGAGAGAGAGAGAGAGAGCTGTGTGTGTGTGAGAGCTGTGTGTGTGAGATAGAGAGCTGTGTGTGTGTGTGTGTGTGTGTGTGTGTGTGTGTGTGTGTGTGTGTGTGTGTGTGTGTGTGTGTGTGTGTGTGTGTGTGTGTGTGTGTGTGTGTGTGTGTGTGTGTGTGTGTGAGACAGTGTCTTTAATGTCGTGTGACCTACAGTAAGTCAGTGATGGATGACTGTACCGCTGTTATTCATGTTGTATTGTGTTTTAATGTGTTCGTACTTCAAGAAGCGTTAGAGAGATAAATTGCATATACAGGCTTCACATTCTAATGAAAGCAACATACTTTATTTACCCCTACAGCCATATATTATATTATATTATATTAATAATAGTACCTCAATAATAGTACCATAATGATACTAAAATAACTAATATATATATATATATATATATATAATGTACTTGTAATTTTACTTATTTTGTTGTATGTAGTTTGTATTGATTTTTCTTTTTGTACATCAAGTTAAACTGAATGAATTTTTTTTTTTTCAGTTAACAAACTCTAGTTAGTTTTAGTAACCCTAATTATATTTATGTGTGTGTGTGTAATATATATAATTATATAGTATTTGATCTTTTGGATTGTGAATGCAGTTTGTGTTAAGCTAATGCAAGATCCAATTATCCATAATTTATTAATAAAATATGCAAGCTGCTTGATTTGATGATCCAGGATTAATTAACAGGAATCTGTTCATAAACATCAGGCCTCCCCAATTAGAGACACAAAGCAATTTGCATCATGTCTGGTCAAACCATGCGTAGCGCAACACGTTTCACCGTAGTAAACCGAGATCTCCAGACGACACGCTTACACACACACACTGGCTTGTGCAACTCACGTCAGATGAGCTGTGCTGAAACCACTCATTTTACTAACCTTACATCCGAGTTATTGTGTGCCATTTTATAGATATTTTTTTAATTTAGATTTTAATTGATTATAAACATGGCTGATTTTCACCATGTAATTTGTATTATTTTTTTACTTCAATGGATGTGCAGTTATATGAATAATATATTAATTGTCTATTTTCTGTTTCAATTATTATTTAAAAGTTTTAGTAATTTTGCTGTATTTCTTTATATATATATATATATATATAGCCTAATTTTCGTTTTTTAATATTTCCATATATTTTTATAAATTGTTTTAGTTTTGGTTATTTTAGTTTTAATATGCTATTATATAAACTCTTGGTATTGATTTATAATCAGATCTCATTTTAGAGTTATTCCACCTGAAATTCAGAAGGATTAGCAAACTCTTTCATACATTATCAATCCACACAGCCTCACATACAGCTTTAAGATGCACATAATTACTACCTCATTATTTGCCACTAAGTGTGGTGTGTTTCGTTTGAACAGCGTAGTAAGATAAACCTTTTCAGATTCACCGTCTCCCGAATCTGTGCTGAGCTGAGAGTTTGACTGGAACACCGAGCTGTCATTAAAACTGCATTAAAGCATATTAAGGCATAATTAGATATTAGTCCCTAATCTGCGGTAATTACTAAGACAGAGGCAGCGAGTGCGTTGGTAAATGAGTTAAGCACATATTTCTGATAGCGTAGGTGTCGTCAGGGGAGAAGGTGTGCACTCGTTCTGTGTAATATACAGAAGATAAGAGAGAACGACTGAAGCTCGGAGACAATGAACTCTGGGCTGGATTTCAAAGAGACGTCAATCCCAGTAGGGTTATGAAGACGCAACCATTAACGCCTGTTTAGTAACCAGCTGTTGTTTGACATAATAGATAACTGGAAGTTCATTCTTTTCTGTGTTCTTTTTCTAAACACATGGTGGTACTTGCATCTGTACACCAGGGGCCCGTGCCATGATGACGACGGGAGATGAACACACTCGGGGTTGCGGGATACCATGATCAACTCTCTCTGTCAGCTCAGGCTTTATACTGAGTTTAGGTGTGACATCATCAGTAGCGAACAGCCAATCACACGCTGAGAAAGGCCCTGTCCTAAATGGCACACTCCGGACTTGTCCACACTTCGGTGACGTCATGTAGTGCGGACCTATAGACCTTATTCGCAAACACCGGAAGTAGCTAACCGCGGCCATTTTGTTGACATGACATCTGTCCTGCTGCCTCTAGCCGCGCGCAGATTTGAGTTGAGGGGAGCAGTGTTGCCAACTTAGCGCCTTTGTCGCTATTTTTAGCGACTTTTCAGACCCCTTTAGCGACATTTTTTCAAAAAACCGACTAGCGACAATTTTAGCGACTTTTGGACAAACCTCAGTAACCTCCAAATGTTGCCAGTCCTATC